GAACAAACCCCTGAGCGCATGTATTAAAATTTGGCACAGAACTCATCCCACTACAGTCAAATTGTGTGGCTTAAGTACCTTTCAAAGATTTTGTAAAAAAAAAAGTAAAAAAAAAAAAAAATAGAGGAAGAAATAATTTAGAAAAAACTCTGCCTATCCAAAGCCCTCACCAGAGAAACGGCTTCACTGCCTTGGCGTGAAAAACTGGAATAATCTTTCTTTTAAAACAGAGGCTGACAATTTCCATAATTTCAATTACATCAAATACCATGGTGCGGTCTGACCGAGATTAATTTATTTGTAATGATCTCTGAAATGTAAATTGTAAGTGGGCTATAATAAACCCATGTTTATCTTTATAAACATGATTAATTTTACTTATGATGTTTTCTATATGGGATGATTAGCCTAATCCTCCTGAACACGTGACGCTGGTGCGTGGTATCAGACATGAACTGTACAGAATGCGAACAAGATTAACTTTAATACAAGGAGATAATTAATTTTTTTTTAATGGCTTAAGTTTTTTTTATTTTTTTTTTATTTTTTTTAAACAATCAAAAGAACCATGATAAGTTTAACCAAACAGCCTTGGTTGAAAAGTGTTTGTTAAATCATTAAATAAAAGTGATAAATCAGTGAAAATCTGGTTATTGTTCCCTAAATAGGTTTTTTGTTAATTGCATTTTTGAGTGATGATGCAAACAAATTGCTGAATCAGTGATTTCATTTAAACAGACGGTTCAAAAGAAATGAATCACAACTCCTCAAACAACGTTGGCATTTTTATTCTTGAGGTTTAAATCGGAGATGCTACAATAAATGGCACGGTCTTGACACTTTCATGTAATTTGTGACCAGCAGCAGGCACAAAACTGCTGGTAAAAGTGTTAATTATCACAACTTACTTGGTAATGATTAATTTTGTACCAATGACAAAATAACATTGCGTATGTCATAAATATTTCTCATATCTCCATGCTATATTGACAGCTGAGTCGTTATGTCATTGTTATATGACTGATTATGTGTATCTAAACAAAGCCTCCAGGTATCACCCAGATGAGTCGTCTTAACGCAAAAAAGAAGGTGAGATCTGTATTGCTCAGAGAGAATGTGAAACACATAAACATGTAGTTGCAGGGGTTTGTTGTATTTTTCGTCGGGGGCGTTCTTATTAACACAAAACAACACTTGACTCATTCCACGCAGCTCGGATCAGTGCAACCAACTACTGAACGTATGCGGACCAACGCCAACGTGCCCATATCAATCGACCGTCAGTATTTTTCAAGGCAAAATGACACTGTCGATTGTAAGTGGAACATTTAGGCAGCAGAGCTGCTCGTGGTTCTTTTGTATTACTCATCCAGCACACATTCACGCTGGCACACACACGTACCCTTTTTTTTCCCTGTCGCCACCATCATTAGTAGATGGAGAACGACCTTTTCCTCTGCCTAAATATAGAGCCCACAAAGAATAGGAGGAAGGGAGGGAAATGGGGGAGACGAATGAGCGCGGGGGCCCTAAACATTTCTAGGCCTTTAAATACAGACCAGAGACTCAGAGGACGGCGTTTTTGTTTTCTTTTTCGTTCTTGCGTCATGGCCTCGCCATAAAAAAAAAGAGCTGTTGCAGCTGAACGCTAAATGCAAACAGAGACGACGGCGATAGGTGCTGTTTTTAGAGACTTTACGCACCGAAATGGCAAAAGAACGATGCCAAGGTGGATATTAGCGTCCAATTTCCTTGAACTTGCGTGTAATGTTCGGTCAGATGTTCGTCACCCGGTTTGTTTGTTTGTGCCGGTACAGTTTGTACAGGTGCTATCATGTAAGGCTTATGTCATATTGTTTTTCTAAGCGTGTGTACAGGGCCCTGTCAAGCGAGGGTTTCGTCTGGCAAAAGAACGATGCCAAGGTGGATATTAGCGTCCAATTTCCTTGAACTTGCGTGTAATGTTCGGTCAGATGTTCGTCACCCGGTTTGTTTGTTTGTGCCGGTACAGTTTGTACAGGTGCTATCATGTAAGACTTATGTCATATTGTTTTTCTAAGCGTGTGTACAGGGCCCTGTCAAGCAAGGGTTTCGTCTGGCGGTCTCCTGACTCCATACCCATTAGTGACAGTAACCATCAGAGAAACAGCAGTCCCAGCAGAACCCACAGGCACCAGGGGACGTGCCTGTTTTAGCTGTTATTGCGCTTTGATTGAGCGTGTTTGTGTGCACGCGCTAAGTTGTCTTGTGGTCTTATGTGAAAAAAAGATTGTATTATGGCACACTGGTTTGTTTGAAAGTATCTCCGAGCTGTTTCTTGTAAAGTCATTCCTCGGCCTTCCCCGGAGTCTGACGTTTAGCCCTCGTCTGGGGTTTATTTTATGTCACTTCTTATTATTAAGGGACGTCTACCTGTTTATCGTCACCCTATTGTCAATTGTGGCTTACTACTTTGTTCTTTTTGAGCAAACATCACTGTTACTGGATGGAGAACAAACCCCTGAGCGCATGTATTAAAATTTGGCACAGAACTCATCCCACTACAGTCAAATTGTGTGGCTTAAGTACCTTTCAAAGATTTTGGAAAAAAAAAAAGTAAAAAAAAAAAAAAAAAACTGATTAAATACTTATTTTGAAGCAACCACCTATGAATACTGTAGCAATAAATAGAATTAGCTACTTCAAGGAAAAGTTCACCCATGAAAGAAAGTCTGTCATTTTAATATAAAAAGTATAAAATTATAATATATAATTATGTAAAATGTATTCTTGTCATTTCAAACCTCTATGACTTGGGTCTTTTTCAAAACACAAAAGAAGGTATTTTGAAGAATATTTTTGTCCATACACTGAAAGTCAATGGGGTCCGAAACAACTTTGGAACCTATTGACTCTTGTATGGATGAAAAACACCGAGATATTTCTTGAAATACTGTATTTTGTGTCATAAAGGTTTGAAACGACATTAATTAATTTTCATATTTGGGGAAACGGTCCTTTTAATCTCTCTTTGTTTATTAGAATCAAATGCACTTTGGATATTTTAGCTTATGCGTTTTGATTTCATTAATTGATTAATTGCATTCACTTTGTTTCTCTCTGCTATACGTGTATTTATAGCACTAAAGTGTCTTGTTGCTAGGAGATGGTGTGGGAGCCTGGGACCCAATGCACGAGAGAGAGAAAAAGGTATGAGAGTGGAGGGAAAAGGCGCACTTCTCGTGAAAGCTGAATGACAAATGCACTCACGCATACGCCGTGAGTCAGCGCTGACGCGCACAAACTGTGGGATGCTTTGTGTTTCTGTGTGCCCACTCATTCGGTGGAGGTCTGGGCCCACAAACACACAACTAATCATATATGAGCCATTTAATGTGACATGTCTTGGTAAAATTGGCATGAATTAACTTTTTGAAGTCTCATTCCTATAGGCCTAAATCTCTTTGGAAAAGGCGCCAAAATTACAGGCCCAATTGGTGGAGTGCATTTTTTTTATTTTAGTATAACTTTGAGTATCACTTCTGTTGCGGTTATGCCAGTGTTTCCTGCATTGCTGAATCTTCAACACACAGCAAAAGGAATCAAGTCTTTGAGTTTTACTCCAGTTCCAAATACGAGTTTGCAGTCTGATTTGAGTGTTTTTACTCTGGCTGAATAATGGCGAAAGCGCATCTTTCTGTTGAGTTGATTCAATGGCAAATGACTCATATGAGCTGGACCTTTTTAGTGAATCAAAAACAAGCAGCGCAACCTGTGTAGTCCATTCACGATTGATTGTCTCTTATTTGCTGGAATTGGAAGAATTGTCGAATTCATGATTAAATAACTCTTATGGGCTGGTCTGAATCAACCTGACGAACTTGCTAAGTGCTTACTGAATCAACATCTGACTCGCTCACTGAACTGCAAGTTATCAGGACTTTATACATGAACCAAATTTGTGTCCTTAATGTTTGAGAAACTTGTTGCTCATATGACTCTGTGTTGTTTACCACAAGAAATGGAACTGATCTGCTGCTTTTCAGTGGGTCAAGTGAGTTTTACATCTCCGATCTGCCAGATCTCTCAACCAAACATCTCAAAAAACAAGCAGCGCAACCTGTGTAGTCCATTCACGATTGATTGTCTCTTATTTGCTGGAATTGGAAGAATTGTCGAATTCATGATTAAATAACTCTTATGGGCTGGTCTGAATCAACCTGACGAACTTGCTAAGTGCTTACTGAATCAACATCTGACTCGCTCACTGAACTGCAAGTTATCAGGACTTTATACATGAACCAAATTTGTGTCCTTAATGTTTGAGAAACTTGTTGCTCATATGACTCTGTGTTGAGTCATGAGTCAAGCCGCATTGCCGACTGTTCAGCAGTTGTCACGGACAGTTAGTACCAGCCCACGGTGTCCAAGTCATCCTACCGCCCCCCTGCTCAGCGTGGGTCCCCGCAGCACATGTGTGCGGTTGGCGGTGGTGGTGGTAATGCTGAGCTGTTCTGCGTTCGCTGCCTAGCACGGCGATAGGCTTTATTAGCTGCCAAGCTCTAAACCGTCTGAAAGGGGCATTCCAGGGAGCACAACACCACGTAGTGCGCTAAGACCCTATATTTCTTATTTGTGTGCAAGTGTGGGAATTATGCTGTTATTTTTGGTCGTTCCCACCTGACATAGCTCGCCTTAGAGATAGAATCTCGGTTCATTGTTTTTTGCTCTGATTTTGTTTTTTCTTTCCTAATAGGACATTGTGTCTAATTTAGAGCCAGCAGAAATACTTCACCTCGTTTGGGTTGAGTCTGCAGACTTGGCTTTTTCATACTCGTCCAAGTGCGCCAAAGGCTAACGTTTTCAGGTGTTTGTTCGTGCTTGTTTCAAAGAGCTCTTCCGCCGTCTCACGATGTCACGTTGACTCAGCGTTGTGCATGGATTCGTAATAGGTCTGTCACTTAGCATGTTGTGTAACTGTCTGTCCGTGTTAACGTCTCAAAGCACAAACAGTTCCCGTAATGAGGAAAAAAAAGACCCTTAAAGTCACAGCCGTGTTTTTGTCTCACCTTCAGCGGCCTCCTGCTTTTTCTGCAAGTATTGAGTCTAAAAGAGTCTAAAAGTAGAGACTGTGTACCATCTGTGTGTGTGTATATGAGTGTTATTATGACTTCTGCCTCAAGGATTCTGGATCGAGGTGCTCGTTAACTAGACGCGGAGGCATTTCTTACAACTTATTCAGACTTGGAGGTGATTGAGAGATAAATAGAAATCGCATACAAACTTTTACCAGACTAAAATCCAGAGAGCGAGTCTGTATAAAGGCCTACAGCCTTGGAAACGTATCGTTCCCTTGGCTTAATGTCATTTAATAGACAGCAGAGGTAATACAACCTCTTATTATTCGAGATAAGATGTGGTGAAACATGCCTTCACTTTACTCTTGCCAAACGTTGGCTAGATTGCATCGAAGTGGCAAGAGTCTCAGGCGTGTTTTGTGTCTGACCTCTAGGGTTTGCCTTCCCAGACTGGGCCTACAAGCCGGAGTCGAGTCCTGGTTCCAGACAGATCCAGCTCTGGCACTTCATCCTGGAGCTGCTGCGGAAGGAGGAGTACCATGATGTCATCGCCTGGCAGGGGGATTACGGCGAATTCGTCATCAAAGACCCGGACGAGGTGGCACGACTGTGGGGTGCCCGCAAGTGCAAGCCCCAGATGAATTATGACAAGCTCAGCCGAGCGCTCAGGTGAAGACTAAATCTGCTTATTAAATCCCATTGTAATGCCAGTTATGCTCATAATATGCCATTTGCACCCACCGTATATTTGCTGATGAAAACAGCTGCATTAGAGTAACTAATTGAACTTGGGTAATGGCTACGTTAGAGCTGTAGTCAAATCCAGCTTTGTCGAGTTCAAGACAAGTCCAAGACCAGGACTAGTCGAGACTGAGTCCAAGTCAAGACCGAGTCCAAATGAGAGAAAAAAAAAAAGGAATCCTCTTCAAGACCACATACTTAACTATTGCTAATGTATGTGATGCGAGAGACAGCATATCTCCTATTTTAAGAAAATAGAAAGAAGGAGAAAGCCGCGCGCCTAGCGTTTTCAGGCGCGACATGCAAATGTGATTTTGTTTTGAAGGAGAAAAAAAGCATATTGCTGGACTCGGTCGAGACCAATGAGAACATTTGGCGAGTCCAATGACCAAGTCCGAGACAAGTCCGAGTGCAAACACCAACAAGTCCGAGACCATAGAAAAATGTCTCGAGTCTGAACTCAAGTACTACAGCCCTAGGCTACGTTCAACAACCAAGTGAGCTGCCTACCTAGACAACATTGATAAGCACTCTACTGATGCAGTAACTGCTCTAGATGTGACAAAATGATTGGATATCTTATTTCCAAAATGAACTGAAAATATCAAACAAGAGTTCACACCAATGACGCTAACTTTATTAGCGCCCACACCGATGAACATTAACGTTATGTATATTATAAGTGTGCTGTTATGATGTCTGCCACTTTAAATACTCACTCTTTAAAGTCAGGTTAAAGATTCTGATTGGCTGTCGATGTTTTTATCGTTCAAATTAAAATGTTTTGAAAGTGATTCCAAAAGTAATGCTTCATCATCGTTATAGCAGTAATGTGGATGCTGCTATTGTCATAGAATTGGAATGATAACTAAACCTTTAGTTATATAGGTAACATAGCTCTCATCCTTGGCCTTATCACTTTTGGCAACATGATAACTTAAAGGGGTCATATGATGCTGCTAAAAAGAACATTATTTGGTGTAATGAAATGTTTATGCGGTTTAAAGTTAAAAAAACACTATTTTCCACATACTGTACATTATTGTTTCTCCTCTATGCCCCGCCTTTTTGAAACGCGTCGATTTTTACAAAACTCATCGGCCTGAAAAAGCGAGGTGTGCTGTGATTGGCCAGCTATCCAGTGCATTGTGATTGGCCGAATACCTCAAGCGTGAGATGGAAATGTTACGCCCCTCACATACTGTTGATGCCGTGTCAGGCCGGAGCGACGAGACAACATTAAAACCCATTACAAACGAGGCATTTGTTGCGTCCAGTGGAGACATAATTACGGATTATAATGACTTGTACTGTCTTTTTACGTGTTGCATTGCATCGCGCCGCGTAAACATAAAACTCTTGTCTGCATTTGTGATCAGAGAAATGACAAACAACAAGTGCTACTCTACACTGCCCAAAACTCGCGTTTGAATCATCAGTGGCAAATGATAAAAGAAAACGTACTTACGTGAGTCAGAACTGCCGGCATTTTAGTCTAACGTTACTCTCCCAGGATCCGTGAAACAGTCCTCCATAAAATGTGCCGGCGATCCACAGCACTAAGTTGATGTATTACCTCAGCGACCAGCACGGATCAGCTCTAGGCATGACGAAGTGGATATCGTCCTCTTTTGGAAGGCCAAACAAAGTAGTTTTGCTTTCGCAACGAAACACACAGCGTCTTCAGGACATGGTGGCAGCGGCAACAATACTACAGCGAGAATAAAAGTTACGCCGCCTTTCTTTGCGTGAGCATTTGGGCGGCGTTATGCAAATCTTCCCACATAGTGAGGTAGACATGTGGGGGCGTGTTCGACGAGCTGTTTTAGGTAGGTGTGGCTGACTCTTAACTTTTATAAAGAATATCTCTTTGGATTTGAGACTTTAGTCTTTGCAACTTTATAGATCTTCTTAATGCACCAAGAGCTTGTAACACTCCAAAGAGGAAGGAAAAAATTAAATCGCATCATATAACCTTTATAGCCTTTAACATAGCATGCTAGCTTAGCAATGTGCCGACACGCTATGCCAATAGAAAACAGATATATACTGCATATTCAATCGTGTAATAGTTCAATTGTGCTTAGAATGTCAACTTGACATGCTAGTGTAAAAGTAGAATGTTAGCTTAGCAAAATGCTAACAACCAGATTGATGATAGTTTATGCTAACGTAAAATAGCATCATAGATTAGCAACTTGACAACATCAGATTATTGATGTTGATGTCAAGTCTCGCTTGTGGTTCATTTTAGTAGCCATTAGCTGAGTTGCTTCTCATGAAGAGCAATTCATCTCACTCACTTTAGTCCATTTCGTCTCACAATAGTTTGGAATTGCAAGACAGCTCACTAGAGTTTGGTATAAAGCGAATGAGTTGTGTACAAAATCAGCATTTTGTGAGCATTTTGTTGCTGTAAACTAAAGCTTCCAGCTCAAGGTAGACTAATATTGCTGCCAGTTTTATCTTTGCTCAGTCTAGAGCGCTTTATTTCTTTGACTTTGTGTTCATCAGCAACGCCTCTGCATTGCTTGTCTTTCTGTGTTAGCGTTCCTCCCCGTATACCATTTTTTCCGCCTTTTCCTTTTTCCGTCCTCGTCTGTCATTCGCAATCTGTCCAGTTGCCTGTTTGTCTGTCTCTTCGTGTTATTCAACGCTTTGGACCGGTCACCATGGCAACCTGCAGATGCCCACTCAAACCTGCTGAACCTGCCTTCACCATCCCAGAATAATCAAGCCCACTTAGCGCTCATCAGCCATCACTTACAGGACTAGTGTGCGTCCTCCACTTCTGAGAACTCTTTCATTTCTCAAAGAGAAATATGGACACATGAATGGAAGAGGAAGGGAGGGGGTAGAAGAAAGGCAACAGAAAGCTGTGTACAGTTCAGATGTAAAGCAGAAAGTTCCTCAGTGTCACACTTCTGAGAAACACAGAGAACTCGCCTCTGTTCGACACATGTGGAGGACACAAAAATGTCCTCTAAATTAACTCCAAAAAGCATGCACACATACATGCATTCTGTGACCTCATCTTGACCTTTTCATGCTCTGTTGAAGCTGGTTTTCTTCATTCGCATAATTGGGAAGTTTGTGGTGTTCATTTATAGGCCCACACAGAATCCTCTGACAAAACCTTTGCAGATTTCTGCTAAATTTGATTGCCAGTGATTCTAAAATTCTACAAATCTTTAATCCTTTGTATTTTCATTCAGGCAAACATCACTATTACTCAGATTTAACGGTTTGTTCAAATGGCTAACATTTAGTACTACGTTTTGGTGTTTTATCTGCATTGTTTTGTACATTCTTAAGCAAAAACCTAGCAACTAACCCAGAATACACTAGCAACTTTAAGGTATAACTTGGTACTGAATGATTACCAAAACAAAACATGGTAATACCATCAGACTCTAAGTATATGATTGCATTTTAAAGGAACACGCCATTATTTTTTTGAAAATAGGCTCATTTTCCAACTCCCCTAGAGTTAAACCGTTGAGTTTTACCGTTTTTGAATCCATTCAGCCGATCTCCGGGTCTGGCGGTAGCACTTTTAGCTGTAGCTTAGCATAGATCATTGAATCTGATTAGACCGTTAGCATTTTGCTCAAAAATGACCAAAGAGTTTCTATATTTTTACTATTTAAAGCTCGACTCTTCTGTAGTTACATCGTGTACTAAGACCGATGGAAAATGAAAAGTTGTGATTTTCTAGGCCGATATGGCTAGGAACTATACTCTCATTCCGGCGTAATAATCAAGGAACTTTGCTGCCGTACCATGGGTTCAGCAGGCGCAATGATATTACGCAGCGCCTGAAAATAGGCTTATTGGAAGTTACCTAGCTGGGGACTATTTTCAGGCGCTGCGTAATAGTACACGTTGTAACTACAGACGAGTTGAGTTTTAAATAGGAAAAATATATTAACTCTTTGGTCATTTTTGAGCGAGATGCTAACGGTCTAATCCGATTCAATGATCTATGCTAAATGGATTTGAAAACAGTAAAACTCAACTGTTTAACTTTAGGGGAGCTGGAAAATTAGCCTATTTTCAAAAATAGTGGAGTGTTCCTTTAAAAGGGTTTTGAATAGACTAATTTGGAGTAGACGTTCTTGGCAGAAGAACGCCGGTAACAAGTGGAGGGAAATGGGTAAAATACATGGAATAAGATAAAACAATTATTTTTGTGCCTTTTGGATGTCAGAATCGCAATGCAAATCATTTTTATAGAATACTGTCAGCAAAGACGCCATTTGAAGCTAAACGCAGATGTTTAAATGGACAGACTATGGATGACAACCGCTATGATTACTCTACTTTTAAAGCATAAATTTGATTTAAACAATAAGTCTACATAATATTCCCATATGCAATTCATAGGGGACATATTGTATTAACCCAAGTTTGTATCTCCTAGTTCGGACGCAATTTAACTCAACAATAACGAGTTTGTCAATTTTGAGGAAAAAAGTTAGAAGTCCGGGATATAAACTCCTGATTCTGAGCTGAGGGGAAAAGAGAGAATGAAGAGTCGTTTTTCCTTATCAGAACTGTGAGATATAATCTCGGAATTGCAAGAACAATGTCAGAATTTTGAAATATAACTCCTTTTATTCTTTTATTTCATGGCTTCCATAGGCTGTTATTTGAAAACTGTCACTTTCTGCCACCAGACTCCGCCCACAAAAAACCGTCATCACTGTTTGCTGAACACCGAATTGGTCTCTAAATGTTAATTTAAGAGATGATTAGTATCATTTTTGACTAATTTCATCGTGCTTTCATCAGCAACCAATAACAGTACTTTCAGTTTAGTTTAACCCAATTTACTACCAGTAAATCTATTCTGTAGATTCTTTTTGGAAAATGTGTGAAAAGTGTGCACATTCAGCGTGAATCTAGTCATTTGAGAAAGAAAGGCCTGAAGGCACTCTCTCTGCTTTCTTTTCTTTCATACCTAAGAGGTTGCACGTGTTCACTAAAATTCAAACACCCTTCAGACAGACTCCAGGCTGCACAGGCATCTCATTGTTGAGCTGTTGAAAATGAACAGACTGCAGGCCAACAGACAATGCAAAACAACATGTACACACTCGTATTTACCTGTTAACCTGATGCTGCTTGTAGACCATCATATGACCAGACCACTGCTTTCATAATGAATGTCATCCGTGTTAAGCTTAGTGAAAGTAAACAAAAGGTCATTTGGATCAGCCGTTTCACTCAACAGCATATGTACTGCATGTATGTGAATGTCTGCACAACATGCGTGTGCAAATATGGACAGGGTTAAGAGTTCTTGTGCTCTTTTGAAGCAAGTTCAAATGCACTTCAAAGTGTTGTGCATGTGTTGTGTATGTGCCCTTTTCTCTGTTGGTTGAGTATGTGCCTGTGAACTTCTCAGTGCCCTGATTCACACATCATTGTATATCACAATCATGTCTTCTCACACATGTACTCTCTGCACCCTCAGTGACATCTTAATTAAACACATTGAACCCATAAATCATCTTAACATCTGAAGCTTCAAATAGCCATGAAGTCACGTATCTGCTCATGTATGGAGGAATTTAACGTGTGTGATATATTAAGTGCTCCTTAACGATACAGTAATTATGTCAGGCTTTAACTGGAAAAGGTTTTTTTTTTTTCTCTCTCTTTGGAAACGCTGGTCTTACATTTTGTTTCCTGACAGGTGCCGCATATGATCATAGAATTTTGGCTACACAAGATTTTTAACAGATCTGTTTAAAATTAAGAAAATTTAAGCATAAGAAGCTCTGCGTGTGATCTGAACTAGGTCAATTGGATTTAATGTAATTTGCTGTTTGAACGATTATTTTTTGTTACATTAAGGCCAGTCCAATTAGAGAGAGAATATAGTGAATTTGCTTCAAATATTGAAATAGAATTTTGAATAATAATATTGATATTATTTATATAATTTTAGTAGGTATTCAGAAGCCAATTTAAAATTAACAGTTTGGGGGGTTTGTAGGGCTGTGACGGTCGCCGTGTCTACTGTCACCGGCAATAGTGCACGTGACGTCATGCACTCTATAACAAGCATAATACAAATTTAATTTAGACTATAAGTCTATGGTAGCCTAATTCACAAATGACCTCAAACGCCATGCACGGCGTTTCCTTTAGATTGGCAGGTTTGAGTGCAGGAAAATACCGTTTATCCTGCATTCAGCAAATTAATTTTGTGTTGGGCGATTGGACCTTGTTGGGAAACCAAATACTACATCGCCGATCTGGAGCCATCTCCATTCATGTCACCCATCCGCGTTTGTACAAGTGTCTTCAAGTTCCCGTGATCGCAAATGCCTGGCTGGTCAGGTTTGGTGAGGCTTTCTCCAAACTGGCCAAATACAAACGAGATGGCGATAAATGAAAGATGTTAACAAGAAATGTGGCAACGATTCCTATTTCAAAAAGAGCGTGTGCCAGACGAGGAGTTAATGCGCCCGCTTGCTTGGCGGCAGAAAAGTGAACTGTGTCTACTCCGGACGCGACACCGGCGCGTCGCAAAAGGTTGAGTCGGTCTACATGGGACATTTGAACTTTGTCTCAATACCTCATAAACAGGATGAGGCAGTTTACTGTCGGGGATTTGTCATGTCATGTAGCATCACTGATTATAATGAGTTCTATAGTATTTTGTCGTGTCGCGCTGCTCTCGTCCGGTAGACAGGGTGTATTTAACTTTATTATTAAGGCTACTTTCTTGTTTAACTGTATTTCTTTGATATTTATTTTAGTGTTTTGCAGGCTGCGTGTTCACTGTTGGAAGTGCTAAAATAAACACGCATTTTTGTTAATAGATGATTGAGCCTCATTTATTATTTGTGTTTAAAAATTATACATATATATATATATATACGTGTAATATTTATACATATAATATTAATATATAGCCTATCAACACCGCACCACCTGCGGTAGTTGGCCCATTACCACCACGGTGGTAAAAATCTGTCACCGTCACAGCCCTCGGAGTTTGTCCCAAGTTTTCAGTCTCAGCCAAGAATTTTCATTTTTGACCTATCATTTATTGCAAGAGAATTATACTTTGATGTGTTCGAAAACCAGTCACTCTGTTTTTGATTTAATGTGCATATTAACTTCTTGTAAGTTGCATCTCTGAACTGGTCATTGCCTTTGCAAAGTTTAACAAGTACAAGAATGTCAAATACATAAAAATGGGCGGCCTTCAACAAACTGTGACTCCTAATAATGGCTTTGGCAAGTGCGTAACCATGCCAACACTGTCTCCGCAGATACTACTACAACAAAAGGATCTTGCACAAGACCAAAGGGAAAAGATTCACCTACAAGTTCAACTTCAACAAGCTGGTGCTGGTGAACTATCCATTCATTGACATGGGCTCTGCAGGTGAAGACCCCTGCTTCTTAAACTCAATCTTTCTGAAACCCACCCATTTAGTTTGATGTACAAAGTAAAATGGTTATTAAAATTTCTCAACCTTTTTCATAGGTTCTGGTGTTCCACAAAGTGCACCGCCTGTCCCATCAGGTGTAAGCACTCATTTCCGCTTCCCTCCATCCACGCCATCGGACGTCCTCTCTCCTAGCGAGGAACTGCGCAGTCCTGGTGTCTTCAGTGCTGTGCCTCGACGCATAGCTCGTGGCTCTGTCTCCGACTGCAGCGATGGCACCTCCACCAACTCGGAGCTTGAGGAAACTGGCATAGCTCCCGGTGACGACCGCCTGGCCGACCGTGCCTTCAGAAACCTGCTCCATCCGCGCTTGTCCCATGATTCCTTGTTCCGTGTCTACGGTGCACCGCCCAACCCAACTGGGCTCCCCAGGAGTGGGCACCATGCACCCCCACACAGGGTCCACCCTGAATCCTTGTCTCCATTCCCAGTGTCCCCTCTCCCAGGCCCTGGAGGCTTGCTGGCTCCTGCTCTTTCTCCAGCTCTCTCCATGACCCCTACATCTCACATGCCCTACACACCTTCTCCATCCCTGTCTCCCATGCTGGGTTCCCACTTCTCGTTCAATCCAGAAGACATGAAGCGTTACCTGCAAGCTCACACTCAGAGTGTCTACAACTATCATCTGAGTCCCCGTGCATTCTTTCACTATCCCAACATCATCATCCCCCAGCCCCAGCGCCCAGACAAGGGACTGGGAGCACCAGCGGGTGTAGGTCCACACCTGTCAAGTCACCCTCTGCACCATCAGGCTGAGGAGCCTCATTTATCTCCGTTCAAGTTCAAGTTACAGCCACCACCACTGGGTCGCAAACAGAGAGAAGGGCCAAACCCGGCTGGAGCAGGACATGCTTCAAATTCTGGAAGAGCTGCTGCTTCCTTCTCTTACAGCGGGGAGCCTGGTGCAGCCTCAAATTCTGCTTCATCTGGAATGATGACCAACAACTCAACCCTAGGTGGTCCACCAAAGATCAAGGTATGTTCACCTTAAAAAAAAAAATCCACACTGTAGCTCCTTTGAGAATGAAAATGGTTTTCTGTAATGCTCATTTTGCTTTCTTCTGTAGGTTGAGCCCATCTCAGACATGGAGTCGGAGGAAGAAGTCGAGGTCACCGACATCAGCGAGGAGGAGCAAGACGACGACGAATGTGATGTCTTTTCCCCTCCTCACCCTAATGGTGGCCTTGCCCCTCCACCCAACCATGATCGCATGACTGATGATGATGATTTCGAGGAAGATGTCTTCAAGACCCCAGCTGCCCCTACCTCAGGGGTTGGGGTAAATCTTTTAGGTCTTAAAGCAGAACCCCGAGAGCTAAACCTGGGCCAGGGTGCTCCCATTAGCCCCGGGGGTACGCGCTGCATCCCTCTGAAGCTGCGTTTTAAACGCCGCTGGAGTGAGGACCAGCGAATGGAGGCGGGAACCGAAGAGGCCGAGGACAAGAAGAGCAGGGCAGAGAGGGAGGAGCTTACCCAGGAGGTGGAGCCTAAACTGGGGGAGGAAAATGGAGAGCGGAAGAGTCCGGAGACTTTGGCTGCACACCTGGAGACGGGCCAGAGGAGGGTGAGCTCTGAGCTGCAGCGAGCGACAGCACAGTTGTCTTTAGAAAACAACGTTTGCTGAAGAAGACGTGGTCAAACACATAAACTTACCAACACAGAGCTGTCCTCCTTAAGGGCTGAAGGCAACTGTTGCTCTCAGAAGTTACGTGAAGACCATCCATTCAGCATGTTCGGATGCCCAAACCATCTTTTTAACTTCTGTACATGCAGGTTCACTCACTTCAAAATATTGCAACACTAAAAATTATTAATACCGACATCTTTTTTATGCATTTTAAGTACCATGGCCCCTTTCCCAAGTTTAGCCAGAGCCCCTTGTTTACCGAACCCATTCCTTTTTGTTTGCTGTATTAGACTAACATCATCCCACTAGTATTCTTGGACACTTGGACACTTCCCCCAAGAAGCTCTCCATTAGGATTTAGGGATCAACCCAAAAATTTTTTTTTTGTAAATCAAGAGAATACAGAAGTGCCTAAACTGGACGTTGATGCACCCCTGTAAAATATGGGTAAAGATGGTGATCTTTTTCTTTTTTTTGTCATGTCATTCATGCCCATGAAATTTAGTCACATGGTCACAGGCAAGTGGACATCGTCTTATTTAAACAGACACTCTTGGATGAAGTGAAAAATGCAGGAACGATGCTGGCCCCACCTCAAACTCAATCATAGTTCTCAGACTTTGCGCTTACAGACGCTCTTTCATTTTTTTTTTTTTTGCATAGCAAGATTCAAGTCCCAGATTTTTTGCAGAACCAGCTTGCCTTTCACTCTCAAACCTGGCCCTTCATGTCACTGCCTTCAGGGCCATTAATGCTAGCGTGCTATCAGCCTTCACTGCCGGCTCCGGACACCAACTTTCCTAGCTGTTCAGCAAGCTCAGCCGGCTGACGGGACCACTCAACAACCTCTTAACGTATCTTAACACATGTATATACATTGGGGGATTCGTTTTATATATGTTAGTCCGTCTTCATGACCACCAGCTGGATGACAAATTATAGATCACACATGATATTTCCTTCAACTTTATTTATTTATTTTTTTTAATGCAGTTTTAACCCTGAGGGAACGTAACCGGAAAGTTGGGGCAACGTATCAGAGTGCGCTTTATGGTTTTTAGCTTTCTAATCATCCCTAAAACCACTTAAACAATCCTGTACACCTTGCTGTTTTGTAAAGGACGCAAATCTTCATGGTTTGTTGGCGGTAAATCTCAGGCATACCACCCCACACCCCTTTCCTCTATCCAACAGGTTGTCTTTGAATATAAAGCCTTCAAATGAACAAACATTTGTGCCTTTTTACGGAAGACTGACCGCCCAGTGCTTTTCAATGTGTTGCTTTATCGACACGTACCAACTCGCATACAGGAGAGGCCTTAGAAACATGACCTCAAACACTGCTTTTATGCCTTATTTAGTTTTGTACCTTAAAAGAAACTATCCTAAATAAGATTTGCATTTTAGAGTCCATATATTCTCTCTTTATTGCACGATAGTCGTATATATTTGATAAAAGAACAAACGCTGGTTTTGATACAAATTATATTTCAGAAGGTAAATCTATATGGTAAATCTATGTCAGCAGGATGTTTGGTTTCAGGGCCCTACAGTGCTTTACTGTGAAAGAAAAGTGTTGTTATAGACAAACTTAAACATAACTGACCAATCGTTGAGAACCCTGAATGGCACAGCTGCCCTTGGCCTTAAGGTCTACGTATAGTTTTAACTCGACCCGTCGCATTTGCATTCTCCATCTCAGTCTCTCTGCAGTGTTTTAGTTGTAGGAGGCTGTTCTTTATCTACGATGATCAAGATTGAACAGGTAAGACCTCCTGTTTGGCGTCACGTTTGGCTACGGCCAGCTCAAGTTGTAGCAAAATGCAGGGACTTCGTAGTAGAAAGGGACCTCACTTCACCGAACTGACAACTAGAAAGTGGACATTCAGCCTCTTAGCCCTCATCTAAGTAGGAAGTATAGGACCTGACACACTTAACACTCATTCCCCCCCCCCCCCCCCCCCCTTTTTTTTTTTTTTTTTTTTT